TGTGATGGTGTAGACACGTCCTTGGGTCCCCTAAGTCCCAGCCTTTAAGCTCTGTCCTCGACCTCGAACTTTGCCCTGGCCCATCCGCCCTGATTGCTGGATCTTCGCAGGTGAAGTAGTAAAGGTCTGTGTAGGACCCTGGAATTGATACTCGCTTCGCTGGCCTATAGTGGGGTAGCAAGGAACGAAATACGTCTGCGTATGCCCCACCGATGACTGAGACTAAGATGCCCCATAACTCTAGGATCCCTACCTCTAAGGATAATCTCGCTTCATGTGTCCTAGCAGGTAGCATAAATAGCAAGTCTTTTGATCTTCCTGATAAGTGGTCATCAAGTTTCCTCTGCCTTGGGAGGATCAACCTTAGCCTTGATGGTGGCAGCCCTATCCCTATTGTCCCTGTGGAGTAGAAGTCTTCTGCTTCTTCCCCGAACTAGAAGAAAAGAATTGGTCATCCTTCTTCTTGTTCTTAGCACCCACTTCCCGGATGCTTTGTGCATCATCAATCTCTCTCTTAATTGTCACAGCTGTCTTGACCATTGAGTCCAAGCCTTGCAGGTGATGGCCCAAAATTTTACCCTAGATGGACAATTTCAAGTCATCCTCAAACCTCCTCACTTTGGCCATATTTGTGGCCACATAGTCATTGGCGAAACGGGCTAACTCAGTGAACTTAGCTAAGTACTCCATCACCGTCATTGTCCCTTATTTCAAATTCAAGAATTCCTGGGCTTTAGCATGTCGAACAACCGATGGAAAGTACTTGCCCATAAAGAGCTCCCGGAACTCTCCCTATGTCATTGCCTCTATGTTCTTTGAGGCCTTTGCCCAATCCCACCATATATGGGCTTCTCCTTCTAACTGGAATACAGTTAGCCTTATCTTAGTGATATTGGAGGTAATCTTCATAGCCGCTAAGATTTTGTCGACTTGCTAGAACCAATGGTCGGCCACCATCGGATCCGTCCCTCCCATGAAAGTCAGAGGCTTGTGTGCCTTAAAATTTTGGAGGTTACTTGAGCCTCCTTGACCCACGTTGGCACTAGCTTGTGCAATGGTAGCCGCCATAGTACCAATAACCTCCATGAAGGCTTGTTGGTCAAAGGCCAATGGTGGTTGATTGCTATTCTTCCCACCACCTTTGCCACGTCCTCTTTCTCTATTTGCTATCTACACACATGTCAAATAACAACAGAGTATTTACTTAGTATCCCAAAGTAGGGATCACAGTTAAACATTTGAGATTTCCCTCATTGTCTCACTAGTAGAGCGTGTGCCACCGCTAGTAGACATTTACACCCTGAACCATCCCGTCCATTCTCTTTTTGACCCCCAAGGTTATGTTCTCTAACCCTGATGTCTCTTTTACATATACATTTAACCATGCATAATCTTCACATAACACATAACATGTAGCATATTAAAAGTACATAACATGAAATGCACAATAAATGTAATGGTTTAGACCCATATCCATCAAGCCCTAGGTAAATTGTATACCTAAGCTCTGATACCAAGTTGTAATGCCCCAAAAATCGAGAGTCATTTGTCAACACGTTGATCACCCATCAACCTGCGGAATATCCGTGGATACCGTATAACTCGATATCACGTTGTTATGCCCCATTTACCGGGATCCATAATTTAACAAAATTCGGACAGAATTTCCTTTGTACTGGGAGCTTTACCCAAAAATACAACATGTGCAATCATACAATATTGACCACACCGGGTCCATTAATGAGTAAATATTGACCACACCGGGTCCATTTATGAGTAAACATTGACCACACCCAATCCACTTAACCATAATCATATAACAACATGCAATGTTACATTAAAAATAGTCCATATAAGTTCCATTACAATTCTTTTACATACATTACATACTCAAAAACTAACTTGACAAATGTTTTATAAAAGCATAGTTTTTTTCACAATAATTTTACAAAACGTAAATTTAAAAGCCACAAGTCGGCTTTTCTTCATCCTTTAAGCCCCAAATACGAGTCGTCCACTGGTATATAACTTGCACCTGAAATATTTTTTCATAAAGGGTGAGTCACGCTTAATAGGGTATCTCCTAAAAAGGTCACTTCCCAACCTAAGTGCATATAAAATGTCAACATGCAACATTCAACAAGCAATAACCATTCCAATCAAGAATATGCAAGTCAATGTTAGAAATCATCATGTCATGCCATGAAATGAGATGAGACTCACTCATGCACTTCAACCCGAGCCCTCTCCGGCTCCTACAACACAATGCAATGTCAAATTTATAAATCCACTATTGATGATATATGTCCAATAATCTTTTTAAAATAAATCATGTGTCTTTGTTACAAAACAAAATAATATGCCTTTATTGGACGTTACACATCAAACGACTATTTTATAAAACAAAATCATGTGTTTTTGTTGGGCAGCGGAGTTTTGGTGTCGCACTGCCGATTCTGCATGCCGATACACTTTTTAAGAATTTCACCATAGTGGAGTGTATGAATGAAGTAATCAAGTCTTGTACCCAGTGGAGAATCTAATCCTGCTTGCTATACCCGACACAAGTTTTTCATGCAAAATATGCGACTCAATCGAATCTTCGATCCACTTTTCACTGAGCCCAAGTATCATCCATCAAAAATGGTGTTTGATCAAACAATGCACACACACACACCCAAATGTGATGTCTTGATACATATGCAATGTAATAAACCATTGCAATATCAATATCATGTCCAATATGTAATAAATGTCATATGAACTATTTTAGGCACATTCAAAATTTTCATGACAAATTATATCCAAAGCATATAACTTCCATAAAATCATCACAATGTCAATATATCATAAGCATATATCAACATTCACATTTAACAACAATTTTTCCCAAGCATGTCACACATAATCTATGCAATAACACACTTAATTTTCACATAGGCATTTAGGCAAACACCTTCAAGGCACCAAATCATGTTATCACATAAAAATGTCCATAATCATCACATAAATAAAAAAATCACATTTAGTGATTTTCACATATCCAATTATCAAAATTCCAAGAAATCACAATCTAACAATTTTTATGTATTAAAGTCAAGATAAAATTTATTCTACTCATTTCCAATACCCATTTCACATTTAAAATACAATAGGCATTTGTTAAATCAAATCTAACAACCTACCCATTTCATAAAATCATCGTTGGTTGGAAATAAACCTAAATATAATGAAGACCCTACCTCTTAAAGCGTAAAAGAACATTGGTAAGCTCCAAGAATACACCCCCAAGTTCAAACCTTCATTTACTCAAAATTCCATCTCAGAAACTTGGGTGAAATTCACTCTTTTTGGTACGTAAGTGTAGCCCTCGTCGAGGAGACCAACTTTAATTCTTGGCTCGAGTTGATTCGAGCGTCAAAAAGGGGTAGATTGTAGCGAAAAGCCTTAAAATCTCTATTTTTTCTCTCCTCTTCTTCACACATTAACCCATTGGAATATAGTAGAGTATTCTGTCAAAAAAAAGTTCAGATTTTTGTTCCTATTTATACCCTTTAAGGCTTGGTCCATATCGCGCCACACGTCCCCCCATTTACAAGTCTGATTTTGCTCCAAAATGATTAAATTTCGTTCCAATTTAAGTTCAAAATATTTTATATGAACTTTACTTAAATTATTCTCTAATTTTCAAAATTTTATTAACAATTTCATTTTTTGGGTCACCTGAGACCCGACCGCCTCGTAAAACATGAAAAATTTGACTATGTTAAAATTCGATAAAATTTGTCTGGATAACTAAATTTTGCGAGACGAATCCAATAGCGAGGTCCGTTTCTTCATCCAAGCTCTAGAAAAATATTGGTTTTCAACCTGCACTATAGTGATAAATTACCGTTTTGCCCTTTTCACAAAAAGTTCAAAAAAAAAATTCTCGGGTTTTACATATTCTTTCCTTATTTGCTTCAAATCTCAATCCAATGATGACCCATAACAAGCATGGCATAGAATCATGGTATAATAAGAAGGTATAAATACAAAACAACAAGCTAAATCATGTAAAGTAAGCACATGACAGAATAAGACATTAATTCAAAGTCTAAATGATAAAACATCACATAGAAAGGACTAAAAGTATGTCACAACAAACGAAAACTTGGAGGGACGAGCATTGCTCACTTTTCTTGTATTACCAAATCCATGAAGAGTGAGTAGTTTCTCATTCACTCTTTAGTAATAGGTGATGCACATGTATAAATCATTCGGAAGTTATATTTGTGCATTTCATTTATGATTTTTCACTTACTTATTGAATGACTGAATGCATCTAACAAAGCTAAAGTACTTTATACAACCTTGAGTACTTTTTATGACATAGATGACTCTTGGCATAGAAAGATTCATTGGTTCTAGGCAAGTACCCCCGCTAGATCTTCATAACTACATTTCAATCTTCACCATTATTGTGTTTTGTTTAAAGAATGGAATATTAACACAATGGTTAGATGACTTGCAGAGACACTTGCTTGTTTGTAGACAGGTTGAGTCTCGGTACAGACAATTCTTGTAAACCTCTACAAAGACATCAGAACCATGCTCTTAATTCTAATAATCCATCATTATCTTTCGATTAAGTTCATGTTGACATAGGGGTTAATTGAATTAACAAGAACAAGTATAATAAACTGGATGATTAACTACATGTTTAGATCCTCGAGCTAAAGGGTGACTGTTACATTTGATAATTTAATATATTTTGTCTAGAAAAATCCCTTGAAAAGAATCTTATATCTGTCCAGGAAATCCCATAACTTCATGTTTTAAGGGTTCCAATCACTTGGTCTCTGTCACTACTTACTTCAAAACACCAACAATAGTTCCCCATGGATTTGACTCCAAACTTAACAAGATTATTACTATAGCTTAACTACCTACACTTGGGTGTACACATTTCGGATCAAGTCATATATTCTACAATTCAACTAGGCAAACAACCCTTTAATCTAGTAAAGCAAACTCAAATACTGCCATGCACAATCCCCATTTCCAAGCATAGTATTCACTAAACCCAGTGAATCAGACTCCACCAAAATCTCCTTCTCCATCAGATCATGACTAAGAACTAGCTGTAACCCATCTAACAAAGCACAAAACTCAGCTTTCATATTTGAGCACTCCTCATAATAAAAGGAAGCTACAAGAATAACACCACCTCTTTCATCCCTCACAATAGCCCCACCACTAGCTAGACCAGGGTTACCTTTGACAGCCTCATCAACATTCAATTTCAAGATTCCAAACTATTCTGTACACATATTCACAATTAAACTCAATGTTCAACTACCTTAAAACAACTTCATCCTCCACAGAATCACCACAACATAGGGCAATCTGGACCTATCAAGATAAACATGATTACTACGGCATTGGGCTTCAAATTAGGCATTGAAACCAAATTCAATATCTTATATCTATTGATCAATTTCCCCTGATCCAAAAACTTATCACTAGCTACCCACACAAAGTTTGGGTTAACAGTCAATTCCTTTGCCACAACCTATAGATCAGTCAATGTAGATGGGTGGGTTCGCAACCCAACTCTATGTCAAATTATAAATCCGAGCAATTAGATTGGTAGTTGCTAGAACTTAAAATATGCGATACCAAGCGTAGGTTGTCGCGAAGTAATATAAAAGTTAGAAGTCTGAGGTCATAGCACAGGGAATTGGAAAAAATCATAACTTCAGGAAAAATAAAAGAAAAAACACTTTTAAAGTTGTTGTAGGAATTCTTTTATTCAAAAGAACAAAAGTTGTTTGATTAAAAAAATAAAAAATTGAAATGCTAAAGTGTTGAGGATACCCTTTCAATTCCACATGACAATTATTAATGATTCAACTTTCATACTCAATTGAGAATCAACTAAGGAGTTATCCCAATCCGAATATGTAGCCGTGATAATATTAAAATATCAAAAGTATAATTAATAACTTAGTTGAATAAATTTAAAAATTTAATTGTAGATCACAAGCATTCATTGTACCTAGAGTCTATGATAAATCAAACTTTCAAACAAATAAACCCCAATTTTACACCAAATAAGAAATTAAATATTTTTATGAAAAACTCTATTTAATTAACTCAAGCATGGAATAACCAAGTATAGGATTCACATAGAATCTCAAGCATTCAATGCACATGGCACACTGAATCAAGAAATTATACAAAGAAAAAAATTTACTAAAGGCAAGAATTAAATTAAAAGAATAAATCATACATTAAAAGAACATTGGATCAAAAACAATATTGTGTACCCTTCAAAGCTTCTCCCCTAGCTTTAGTTTGGGATTTAGCATTCCATAAAAAGTTTAGAATAAAAATTAGAAAGAAAAAGGCTAGACCTGTGTCTAGATTGGTAGTAGAAAGGAAAGAAAGAGGTGCATCTTCAGCATTGGCAGCGATGTCGTAGGCATAGGGTACAGTGGAAAGAGAAGAGAGAAGGAAGAAAGAGATCAAGTTATGTGCTTGTGTGCGAAAAATAGAGGAGTGAGACTTGGGAGAGGAGAGAATGAGGATAGCAAAAAACTGAGGAGTGAGTTTAGGGTAAAGAGATGGACGATCACCCAAATGACAATTAAGGGTTTGTGAATGATGTGTGCGCGTTCGTAGAGAGGGATTTTGGGGAGTGTCTTGGGAGTGTATATGTGGTGTGTGTGTACGCTTGATAGGCAAAAAAGGAGGAGAGGAAAAGGGTGGGGTTAATGTATGGGGGAAGTAGTGTATGATAGAGAGAAAGAGATTGGGGCAAAAAGAAAGAGGGATCACCATAGTTGGATGGAGGAGGTGGGTTGGTGACGACATCGAAGGCGATCAATCACAGAGGCAATAGACAAAGTAGAGAAAGAGGTGATAGTAGAGAGACAGGGGAAAGTTCGTGAGGGAGGCAAATGAGATAAGGTAGATTTAAGAGATGAGATGGTTTGTCAAAGAGAGGGTAGAGGAGAGATGGGCGGCAAAAAAAATTTTGGGTAGTGATTTGTAACCTTTGGATTCTTTTTAAGTTGGTCTAAATCACATATTGGTTTGTTGGTATATTTAGAAATAAATTTTGTATTATTAGACAAAGTTTGATAATAGATTAAAATGATCTGGACTATTGTATTTTTCTAAGTTGCAAAATTCAAAATTAGTCATATTTTATAACGGTAGATATTTTAAAAACACACTTTCAAGATATTCTATAAAAAAACTAGTGGGTCTCATATACAACTACACATTTGCATATTGTAAATAATTGAGATAGCGAGCAGGTGAGGAAAAGGTAAATATATAGTGTAATAGTGACACCACATCACTATTGACATGGTGTCTTTGTTACAATTAATATTTTCTTGTGAAGGAGAAAGTTAAATACGAGAAAAAAGACCGTTAAGCACAGTTAATACGGAGTTATATATGGTCAACGTAAAAAGAAAATAAGGGTACATAGGTATTTTAATAGTATCTCCGAATCTTACTCTTTTTTAAACTCAAATTTAAATTTAGGTTAAAAAAACTCTTAAAAATTTTATTCAATGTTAGATCCATGTCAAATCAAGAGAGACTTTTTTTTGGCTTAAATTCAAACCTAAATTTTTAGCGGTGAGAATTTACTCACCTGTAAAGATCCAATAATTATATTTTATCTTTTTTTAAATTTGAATTTGTCCTCCTATAAATTTGAGTTTGTTTCCCTTTAAATTTGAGTTTCTCTATTAAAAAGGTCTGTATTAAATCAAATTTTTTATTTTTTATTTTTTATTTTTTACTTAAATTTGGGTGAGATTATGGGTCTCCATCGAAGATAGTTTAAGTATGGACAACAAACTCCTCCAGGAGGATATTAAACCACACTTCATTAAAAAGATAGATTCGGAAATAGATAAAACAGGAATAAAATTCAAGAATGATTTTAGTATGGTAATAGATTCATTAGTACCCATCGTTGCAACTTGCAAACTGGGCAACAGAGAATGGTTGGTGACTTCGTCCGTCTAAAGATTGTGGCCCTTTGGTAAGAATGTTTGGTTAAACCGATCTAGCCATTAAAAAAACATTGCTCAAACACCCACCAACCCCAGGGGAAGAAAGGGGACGAGAGAGAATCTACCAGTCAATCCCGACAAACTATCAGATACGGAGCCACAAGCATCACTTTATTAGAGAATCTTCAGCAGCTAAAAATAGGACCAACACGGTCTACAATTTCATACCTATAAAGAGCTATAAATTTAGGAGCTTAAAAGCTTGTGGGAGCATATGAAAAGTTCTGAACCTTCTGATACATGAGTTCTATTCTCTCTGCCTAAACACTTTAAAGCAATTTTCTTTTTAAAAGATTGAAGAAAGAAGAATTGTTTGCTGTTCTTCAATGAGTACTCAGCTAGCGGTTTCCGGGTGAGTTACACTACTCTCTAGCACTTCTTCTTCCTTTACTCATCATTAATTCGTTCTTCCATTGTTATTTTGTCGTTGAAAATCAAGTGACTGTTATAGGATATAGCACCACCGTTTCTGCATATTGTGCTCATATATAATATACCTCGAACTTGAAAGAACCACAAAGATTCACTATATTCTTGTTTTGTCTCTAAAACAAAAAGGGCTTTCAACAATTTTACGAGCCTAGATGATAAAGCTCTCCCTACTGTAATATGAAGCAATGGGTTCATCTTCGAACAGTCATGGCGTTGGACGGCCAAGCCAACAACAATTTGGTCTTGTCCGCTGAACGCGTGAATTCAACTAAAAGTAGGGTTTGAATGTTCAACCAGATCTTAACTACTCCTCCGTCGGACAGAAAATAATCAAGGGAAAGGGTACAATTATATTTTATTAAATCAACATCAGAAAAGTGTTCTAGTCCCTCTGGCTCTCGTGTTTTGGAAGTATTATCTCTTTGACAAATACTCTTTGTTTTCATTTTTTTTTTAAGTGTATCTCATACTTCTCAAAAAAAAAAAGAAAAAGTGCTACCTTATAAATATTTTGGACATTTATGGACCTATATATGTTGGCGGCTTACGACCAAATTCCATATTCGAACAAAAGAAAGACATTAGATTATTATAGGCCACCCAAATTTTTTGCAAGATTAATAGTATTTGTTTATGCATAATTAAGAAGCAATATTATTTGTAAATAATTTATTGACCTAATATATTATTGTTATTCAATTAATAGTGGACTTATTATTAGTTAGTAAACATAATAATTGGTTAAAATCTGTTATTAATTTAATGATTTTGATGCATTACATTAATAAATTAAATTCAAATAATATTATTAATAATTTTATAAAGAGTGCATTCATTTGTAATACTCTTGGTTAAAATAATTACAAAGGTGTCCGCAACTTATTTGCCAACTTTTTCATCCCGTGTTAATTGCCCGGGGACCTGAGAACTCGAAGTTCACATGAAATATATTGATTTGGAACCACGTCTTAAAAAAAAAGTTATATAATTGAGATTTAAAAAATTGATCTCATTTATTACTTTAATGATGTAACAATGATGTGGTCTAANTAAATTAAATTCAAATAATATTATTAATAATTTTATAAAGAGTGCATTCATTTGTAAAACTCTTGGTTAAAATAATCACAAAGGTGTCCGCAACTTATTTGCCAACTTTTTCATCCCGTGTTAATTGCCCGGGGACCTGAGAACTCGAAATTCACATGAAATATATGAATTTGGAACCACGTCTTAAAAAAAAAGTTATATAATTGAGATTTAAAAAATTGATCTCATTTGTTACTTTAATGATGTAACAATGATGTGGTCTACTATTACTGTGCTGACTATTAACTCTTGGATTTTTTTATTGAACACATCATTATATTAATAAATTAGATTAATTTTTAGATTCTAATAACATTATTCCTAAAAAAAAAACTTGGGACTTAGACCTTTGCAGTTTCAACAACTCAACCATCCACCAAAACCTTGTCGTTTGAGTTGAATGGTGGATAGAGGAGTGTGTGAACGTTAGTTGTTTTTTTATCAATGGGACCACAAACCATTCACATTCACATGGGGCAATTGCTGACCAATTGAGGGTATGAACGTTTGTCCAAACACCGACAACCTCGGTCATATGCACATATAGATATGAGTGCACGCCTAATAAATAAAAAGGTCATAAGCACAGCACAATCACACAGGACATATATTTATTAGTCAATTAATTTCAGCTTAATGGATCCTACTAAAATTCATTATATTATATATGTATATAACCTAATCCGTTATTTATT